TCGATACGCCTCAACTCCGGTATCACCAGTTGCAATATCCGGTGCGTCACAATATGATCAACTCAAGGCCGATGAGATGACAGCGTATACAGCCCTAGTCTCCTACATCGGTCCTCATATGATATACCCCGGAAACTGAGGATAAGCCGGGTTGCTACATGCTGAACTAATCCCAGTCGCCGCACCTCACCTATTATGATCAGACAATAGGCAGGTGGGCCGTACTCAAGCACCGGTTTTATCATGGAAGAGAACGGGCGAGTGGAAATCTCTTCAGACAAAGTGCAGAAACTGCGTCTGTGCCCAAAGTGGGCGTTATCCGTTTGTGTACAGTGTTCGTGTTGTCCACAGACTTCAGATCACAGCGTGAGTGCACACCTAGATCCTTTGCGGAGCTTTTCCGATGCACCAGTTGGCCGGCTATGGTGTACATATGCCCATTACCATCCTTCCTCTGATTCATAAATGGACTTGACCTGGTTGAACGGCAGATCGACTACTGTAGACCACAGGGACAGGTGGTCGAGGTCCTGCTGAAGGACGTCACAGTCATTGGAAGAATCAATAACCATCCAAAGAGTCAGGCCGCCTGCAAACAACGCACAGGGCGACCAAAGAAGCTGAGATACCGATGATGTGGATCAGGAACAAAATGGGCCCCAATACTGTGCCTTGCGTTACGCCGCTAGTAGACGGGTACCATTCCGCCAGGTTGCCATCCACTTGTACTTGCCATTCTCTCCCAAGTCACTGATTCACTGCCGCCAACACCCCACAGTCTCAGCTTGTAGAGGAGAAACCTACGGTTCACTTTATCCAAAACCTTACTGAAATCAATGTAGATAACATTTAGTGAATTCCCCCGGTTCAACGCCTACCACCATTCCTGCCTCGTCAACAGCAGATTGGTGATGCAGAAGCGGCCCTTCATGAAACCGTGCTGTGGGGGCGTTAGGAGATCTATCAACTCGAACGGCTGGAGAAGACCCATTTTCGAGCACTTTCGACAAAACAGAGGTTAGACAAATGGGCCGGTAATTTAGACAATTACCTTAGTCGCGTTACTGCCATTCGGAATCAGCTTCACTATCGAGCGATTTCAGTCGCTCGGCAATGCACCTCGAACAGCGATCTGTTGAACAGATCAGTCACACTAGGCAAGATGATAGCCGATAGGGACTTTAGAGTGCGCGGATGGAGGCTGTTGGGTCCGGTAGGCTTCATGCCGTCAAGACTGGCGAGTATACTGCGGATAGCTTCAACATCGCAATCCAGGCGCTCGAGTTCCGTAGGAGTTTCACATGTCGATTGCAGCATACTCGCATGTCCACCTGTAAATACGGAAGCAAAGTACGTCGCCAATGCGGACGCAGGTTCAGTACTGGAGGTGATAGCCTGTCCAGCCAAGCTCTTTAACACTGTTAGGTCACCTGCGGGCCTCAGGCGCCGCTTCACGTAAGAAAAATTCTCGGAGGCCGACTTCGCTGAGGATGCACGCTCCTCTTCGAACTGTCGACGCCTTCGTACATTTGCGCTGTTGCATAGATTCCGCTGCCGGTTGTAGGCCTCATAATCATCGATAGAGTCAGACAGGAGGAAATTATCCCACAATACACGTCGACGTCGAATCAATTGGTCACACTCTTTGTCGAACCAATGTGGCTTCACTGGTCCAGCTTTCCTATATGTGAGGGGTAAAAACGAGCGCACAACGATTGCACACCCTCTTTTATGATAGGGCAACAGGCTTCAACAGATGAATCCTGCGGTAGCGACCAGTTTACTGTACTAGCGGCTCGATTGAGACCGTCGAAGTCGGTTGTCCAGTAGTTGTAGAAAGGCTCTAGGGGACGCGAGCAGGGCTGCGGCAGCTATAGGCTGGCTAACACCATCGAATGGCTACTAGCTGCCAGAGCCTACAGGACCCGAATATGATATACACGTTGCTCGCAACTAGTTAATAGTAGGTCCAAGAACTATGGAGCATAATGCGGTGCAACGCAGTCGGTTGGCAGACATGTTGTGCTTCCCCCGGTTTCAAATATCATCTCCGCAAATTGCGCCTCGTTTTCACAGCGCCCCGGGATAAGTTGAACCGCAGGCCACAGTATGAGAGGGAAGTTAAAATCGCCCATAAGCAGGAAGCGGGGTCGACTCATGTAGTTTCTGAAATGCGGCAACCAATCCAGGCATCGACTTCGCAGGCTGCGATAAGCTGCACCACAAACAGTTCACCCTGTCTCAGGCGGATCGAGCACCATAGCTGTTCGCACAGGCTATGTTCGCTTCGGGATGGTTTTACCGGTCTGCCGCAGAGTGAGGACCGAGGACAGCATGCCAACGCGTTCGTTTGATAATCTGTCGCACCGGAAGCACGAATAGCCACTGAGCTGGAATTCCTGGGTAGTGATCACAGGAGTTAACCAAGTTTCGGTCAGTCCTAGTACCTCCGGACGACGAGAGGCAACGAAATGATATAGGTCGTCACGTTTGTTCATTAAACTACAACATTTGTGAAGGCTAAGCGCAGGCCGCGGTAGGAACCGCCGGGCACCCATGAAGCGTCATCGACCTGTTGAGCCGGGTTCAGCGGACCCGGGGGACTACCCGAAAATTTACGATACTGTGATTACTTTCTCCACGCGATACGCCGCCTCAACTTAATGATAGCGGATTTCATTTTCCCTAGGTCCGACGGATCCATATCTGGATGAGGATGGATCTTAAACCCTTTTCGCTCACCGAGGTGGGATAGCACTAGCCTAGGATTCGCGTCGTCTGCAAAGCTGACTCGTAGTGGCGGAGTCTTCTCCTCCTTTTTCCCAAGACGAGTGATTTGCTTCACCCCCAACCCCTGTTCACCCATGCTGAGGCTTTGTAGAAATTCCACGTTGTGATCATAACGAGTCTGAGGATTTGTATCCGTTGACTCAGGCGCGTGAAATATCATAAGGTTGCAACGCCGCTGGTCGCTGGCAGTTGCTCTCCCCTTCTAACTTCTTTGTGTTCGCCGTTCGAGTACTTCGTTTGCAGTATCGCACACCCGGTTGCTAGTGTCCGGCAGACGAAACACAGGCACACCAGCTGGACTTCCAATAGTGGATGGACAACATACTGGAGAGCAAACAGCCAGCGGGCAAGTAGGCTCGTTCGAGGTTGGGAATGGCTGGGTGACAGCCTTCTGTGGTGAACACACGGAACCCCACATCTTGGAACGCTTGGTCTTTCTTGATGGCTCGCGACGTTTATCGAGTTCCACCTGTTGCATTTTACTCTGACACTGTTTGCAAAATAATTGGACAATTATTCTTCATCTCACGTTGTTCAATGGTAAGACCAATACACGAAATATGAAAATGCACACGACACAAAAAGCAAACAACTACATTCGCTCGATTTCCAACGATGTTGCAGCAAGAACCACATGGTGTTTGCTTCAGCATTACTACGGCAAATAAGCAAGAAGACTAAAGGTTCGATCTGTGGGTGATAATTGACTATATGTAAGTGACACTAAAATGTAGA